GGCCATTGTGTGCTGGCATCGTGGTCCAAATTGTTGCCAAATGTAAGAAATTTGACGCATGTTACTTATTCGGGATTACGCACGTAAATAATCACTCCCAAATGTGAAACCCTTGGCAGGACCCTCCTCAAAAGAGTCATGAGACTCGGCGAGGCTTTTCTGCGTAAACGAGCATGATAACAATAAGAGCACCGTCTTCCGGAAGGTGATGAATGCGCTGCTTTAAAGTGGGAAGAGATGGTTCATCTGGGTGGTCGTATGTCCCTGCGGAGAACCACCTGTAAAACAATTTTGAAAAAGTTGGATTAAAACACGTCTTCCAGATCTATTATCCAGACTATAAGACGCATACCCAACTTTTTGTTTAAAATACGGGGGGTGTGGGTGAGGTGGTGGACAATGTGCCTCTTATAATCCGGTGAATACAGTATGTAATTGAGATTGGTGGGAGAATGTGCAGAGGCTTTGAAAGTAAAATGTTTTGGCGATGCTTTCTCCGACGTAATATTTGTGGACTACCTGTAATAACATGGATCGCCCTGTATCGCTGTAGGAACGACGCGCGCATTTGTACGTGCACTATCCATACCATACTATTAAATGTGACGGGTAGGGCTTTTAACACAGCGATCGAATTTCCATTGCAGCTGCCTATTTGCACTATGAATCGCAAAACGTTGAGCAATGAAATGTTCAAAGCTATATTTTTTGTCAAAAACTCGTTGAATAAAAAAAAGTTTACTGGCGTACTTTGTGCATTTCATAATTTGTATATACAGTATGTGTTTATGTTTTATCTTACAGTAGTGACGTACGTTCCAGCTAGGCCTCGGCAAGGTAAGGTAATTTACCCTTTTTACCGGGTAAAAGGGTAACGGTAAAGATGTCGACATGCCAAGGGGTAAGGTAAAGGGTACAGGGTAAAGGTAGCTCGGAAGAATTACCTGGTAGGGTAAAGTTAGCGCGAAGTATTACCCGGTAAATACGGTGCCTTGTTTACCGCTAGAAGCTCCGTGGCGCAGTCCGTGGCCTCCATTTAATAAGTAATATTAAAACAAACTTTCTTAAAAACATGCTTTTATGAAATGTACGAGTAATGACAGAACTCTACGACTCCAGGAAGCGGCCCTGAAGCTCGCCACAACGTAAGAGGCCGTGGTGATTTACAGCCAACGTCAGTTGACCGTGGACAATTAGACCCAAGCCGAAACATAACATCTAAAAAAGGATTTTATGATAGAATATAGTGTTGTCATCAGTATGACATAAGTATACCAAGTTTGCAGTCGATACCACATTGGGAAGTGGGTAGAAATTTAGTTACAAGATTTGAGGATACGACGACAACAACAATGACAACAACAACGACAAGCATGTAAAATTAGAATCATTGAGTGTATTCTATATGAATAAAGCGCTCTACCCAGCATTTACCGTTATAAACCTTGTTCACGTGTAGTAGTTCCCTAGTAATTACCCTGTAATTGGGTAATTTGGATGGGGTAAGGGTAAAAGGTAGGGTAAAGGTAGGCTCGTTGCTTTTTACCTTTTACCTTACCTGCGAAAGGGTAAAAGGTAGGGTAGAGTGATTGTATTGTGGTAAGGTAAAGGGTAGGGTAATAAGTAAACCCGTAAAAACAAAGTTTTTCACTCAATCCTTTATATGCGTGGCGGCTAGAGTCCTCTCGTCCTCTGGCTTGAGATGGCTGCCACCTATGGGTCAGATGATTGTCTGCCACCATTAAGCAATTGGTAATTAAATATAATATTTTTGTCCTATAAAGTGTAAAATTTTGGTAAAAAAATTTTCACGAACATTAATTGTCACGCACAACGAGTCTGTGTGGAAAATGTCAACTCGGTTGGATCATGGGAAGTGGGTTAAAAAACGACCGAAAGATTTACACGGTCGTAAGCAAGCAAGCACGCAAGCAAGCAAGCGAACTTAATATAAAGGATTTAAAAATAGGCTCGTTTTTACCTTTTAACTTTTACCTTACCTTGCCGAGGCCTAGTTCCAGCCATGACACGTGCTTTAAAGATGCATGGATAGGTTGCAGACGAGAGGCTTAACGTTCATATTTGGGGTGGTGATACAGCCCTGCGGAAGCTGTTGTAGAAGTTCGCGGTTCAACCCCGGCGGCCACGCTGGGTTATTAACTTTAAAATAACTCTGCGACGTCGACTTCACCAACGTACGCGAAATATCCCCGTGTCACCCGCAAGAGTAGGGGGCCGTCCATAAATAACATCACGCACCTAGTGGGGGGGGGGGGGGTCAGACATTTGTGACGATGTGTGACGAGCGGAGGGGGGTTCGATAAATGTGACGTCACATCAAAATGCACAACTTTAAATGTAGAATTGTTATAACACTGATTGTTATAACAACACTCCTACAACATCAAAGTGCAGCGCCACATTAAATACGCACTACAATGACAATAGTTTAAAGCGATTTGAAGCATATTCTTAGGTTTTTTTTCGGTAAAGTCACGTAGGTAAAACATCAAAATTAATAAAAAATAAAATAAAGATCACGACGTTTCGGAGGCAACACAAGTCTCCGTCATCAGGTGGGACCGTCACAGCCAGATTAGCAGCTAACGTCGTGATCTTTATTTTATTTTTATTAATTTTGATGTTTTACCTACGTGACTTTACCGAAAAAAACCCTAAGAATATGAATCCTTGCAGTCACGAAAGCTTTAAATCTAGAATCGTTTTGGAGCATTTTTTGGGGGGGGGGGAGGGGCAGAGCTTTGTGACGTCATATTTGAGGGGGGGGGTCTGACTTTTTGTGACGCCGTGTGACGATGGGGGGTCAAAATCGTCCAAAATCGCGTGACGTCATTTATGGACGGCCCCTCGGGCCACTGAACTGCAAACCTCTGCAACAAGCCAGATGTCCCTTCGCCTGTCGGCACCAGTAGTGGTGGAATCACTTTTACCGCTTCCAATCTGTGTGGCCATTAAGTTACATTTGTAAACCCATTCGAAGTTAAGTTAGGTTATCAATATATATTTTAGATCTCGTATTAGCCGTATACACAGGTGCTGTAAAGTGTTGCCCCGTGGACTAATTCACATCTGTGAAAAAACTAACTTTATAGCTTATCGGATTTCTCCAGTATACGTATTCTAATAATCAGAACGCCAGTGTAGCGTAAGTCCCATGGCACGATATTAGCTTTGCATGCCAATGTAACCCAGCATTATACTGGTAGGAACCTCCTGGTTGCACCAGCCCACAGGGGATTATTGTGTCCGTCCGTCCGTCATGCAGGGAGGGGCTGGGTGGGAAGAGTGGGGAGGGTGGGGAGGGGCTGGGTGGGGAGGGGCTGGGTGGGAAGAGTGGGGAGGGTAGGGCTGGGTGGGGGGTGGGAGGGGTGGGGCTGGGTGGGGGGTGGGGCTGGGTGGGGAGGGGCTGGGTGGGAAGAGTGGGGAGGGTAGGGCTGGGTGGGGGGTGGGAGGGGTGGGGCTGGGTGGGGGGTGGGGCTGGGTGGGGAGGGGCTGGGTGGGAAGAGTGGGGAGGGTGGGGAGGGGCTGGGTGGGGAGGGGCTGGGTGGGAAGAGTGGGGAGGGTAGGGCTGGGTGGGGGGTGGGAGGGGTGGGAAGAGTGGGGAGGGTAGGGCTGGGTGGGGGGTGGGGCTGGGTGGGGAGGGGCTGGGTGGGGCGTGGGAGGGGTGGGGCTGGATGGGAAGAGTGGGGAGGGTAGGGCTGGGTGGGGGGTGGGGCTGGGTGGGGGGTGGGAGGGGTGGGGCTGGGTGGGGAGGTGGCTGGTCACCCCGTGGTGCCCTTATAAAACTCAACTTTTCACCTACTCACGCCGGCTTGTGCCCGCCCTCACAGTCGGACATATTTGCGGAATACACCACGCCGCCGTTGACCCTGCAGGCCATTGACCGATCAATCCGACGTTCCTACCAGCTCCCTCCGCAGGACAATGTGTTTTGTTTAAGCAAAACATCTGCCACTGTTTCGAATTTCTGGGTCTCATCAGCAGTCGGGGCATGTTTAAATGCTGCTCGCTACCTACCAGATGTGATTTGAAAGGCAAAATAGTTGTGTAGAATAAAATGAAAGTTGTAATGCATAAAGAGTTTGTACGTTATTACGAACTTGGGGATAAAAGAGCCGATGCGCCTTTACAAGGAAATTGTAGCGAGAGTTTGATGGTAAATAAGATTGCAAAGTTTGGCTCAAGTTACACGCACAACATTGTGGTCGTGTAGCAGCAAGATGAAATCACCCTCAACGCAATTGTTTTTTTTTGCAATTAAAAGTTTTTCATCGTTCAAATTCGGCACAATCCTTAACACAGTCCTAACTTAGGGAATTTAAAACGAAGTTAACAGTAAACCTCAAAGGCACACTTCAAGACAATAGTTTTAATTGAAGTTATACTTTTGTCAACAACTAAACCCATTGCCTCCCGCCAATTTTAAAACTTTTATTTAGAAAACGATTCCCCTCAACACCAAACGAAATTGTTAAAAAGCTTGAAACCGTATCTAACTACAGACTTGTATCATCTAACATAACGTTATTTCTTAACTTAATGCAACTACCCTATGAAGAGTATTTATATTATTTTATGTTGCCCTCGTCACGGTGACGCGAACATCGGAAGTCGAACACCAAACTCAAAAAATGTTCGTAACAAACTACTTTCTCTGTTACTTAACACAACTTTACACAGACTTTTAAAGCAATTCCATCACGACACTAATATTTACAAATTTTCTTATTTATTACTGTACACGTCACTCTTCTAAACCGGAAGCTCGCGTCGACCTCAACGCGAACTCAAACCAAAACTAAATTATTCTAAACAATAACGCCCCCGCTAAAAGCCGTTAAAACCCAACACTATGATCCATATAGAAATATTTATAAAAATATAATTTAATTTTAATTATTTTCGCGGGGCCGGAAGCGGAAGTGGAATTAACTTGGAAACCGGAAGTGGAGGCTTGGCGCGCGCCCCTCCCCCCACCACCCCTACGCAAGATGGCGGCTGCGGCGGAGCAGGGAGTCCGCGAGTGCGAGCGCTACGTGCAGAAGCACAACATCCAGGCGCTGCTCAAGGATTGCATCGTACAGCTCTGCGTGGCGCGCCCCGAGCGGCCCATGCGCTTCCTACGCGAGTTCTTCGAGAAGCTAGAGAAGGTGTCTTTATGTTTCTCTCCTCACCCTCACACCGCCGTCGCCGCCACCGCCGAATTCCAACTCTCCTTTGTGTGTTTTTATTGACGACGAGCGGTGTTCCTAACTCGCCCGCCACAAAACGGCAGCTGCGAATACAGAATCTTGACTCGGGACTGGTGGAATCCGATGAGCTGCAAAGCTCTTCTTTTTCTCGCACTTGTCCGCTAGAGCCGAGTGAGATCCTTCGCCGCCGCCGTTCGCGGTTTCGCTTCCGCCCACCCGCCCCCTCGTGCAATGCCCCGTGGCGCGGGTGTCAAATATTCGTGGACGAAAATTTCGACTTAAAGCTTTTGTGACTGCAGGGATTCATCTTCTTGGTTCTTTCGGTAAAGTCACGTAGAAGGGAAATAATAAAAAAAAAATTCTCACGACGTTTCGGCCACAACGCAAGCAGCCGTCCTCAGGTGAACAGCAGGGCGTAAGTTCATGGGTCGTGGACGTTTAATATTGAAGATCCCGTGGACGTTTAATATTAAAGATCCGCTAAGAGGGCCTCAAAATCACTCAGTTGTGATCACAAGCAGCAGCATTATAACTTTTCCCGTATGTCCGATGGAGATACGGGGTAACAACTACAAGTTCACATTCTAAACTAAACATTCAGGTGACCGCGCCAGGATGTATTTGTGTTCTACGTCGTACGGTCTGTTCTGCATGACCACAGTGGCAGTGGATGCGAGTTGGGGGGGAACCATGAGCTTCGTTGAAGATCAAACAGTGAACCGTCAGCGTTGGGTCCTTCACAACGTGGTTTTGTGAGTTCATTTGAACTCCATTCGACTCTCCAAGCTTCAGTGGGATTGAGTTCGCATTGTTTAAGGTAGCAACAGCAATCATCACCCCCACGGGAACACTTGCCCCAGGCTCACCTTTGCGAATGAGACTCTTATGTCCCACTTGGTTACACAGTGACGCCCGTGGTCTCTTGACAGTGCGGTCCGCGAGTGTCGCTATTGGCTGTAAGGAGGGGGAGCCGGAGGGTCTGGGTAGGGCAGGGGTCTGAACCTTTTTGACTGGGAGAGCCATAAAAGCCAAATATTTCTAAATATATTTCATTGAGAGCCATATAGTATTTTTAACATATAATAAATTAAATATGTCTTACTTTTAATGCGATTTCTGGTCACAGGACCCGTGACCCGTGAAATTTATCTTCAAAACTAATTTCTGTTTACTTTCAAATGACACAGTATTATTAAGCAATATTACAAGTTTTTTTTTAAATCCGTTCCAAACTGATTTTATTTTTTTTATTTTATTTTTTCAACTCAAAATTGTCTGGGAGCCATATGCCGTCACCGGAAGAGCCATATATGGCTCGCGAGCCATAGGTTCCCGACCGCTGGGGTAGGGTAACTATCGTGATAGGGGCGAACCGATATGATTGAGACTTGGAGAGCGTGAGGTTGTGTTGCTGGTTAGGACTAATGTTGCTGAAAGTCGGCAAAATTGTGAATGCATTAAGAGTATCTGCGAAGTCTCTGGGTTTCTCTCGAGTTCATGGATCTCTGTATGACTTCGAGTCTGTTGAGAGTCTACGAGTCTGAGTCTATGGGTCTGCGTGAGTTCATGGGTCAGAGTCTATGGATATCTGTGACTATGGGTCTTTACTTGAGTGTGAGTCTCTGACTTTGTGGGTCTCAGAGACTATGCATTTGTGTGTGTCTTTGTGGCTCTGGGTGTATGTGAGTTTGTGGGTCTCTATGTGACGTTGTTGATGAGACACTTGAATGTCAAAACCGGTTGGACCAATGCTAGTCAGTTTAACGCGTAGGCTTCCGTGACCAATATCCATAACTAGTAACTAATGGCATTGTTTTATTTATGTGACAAACCTTACTAATTGGTTGTGTCGGGTGGTGGTGGGTTTAACGACACGTATTTACACGATCTAACCCAAAAAGCCTCTTATGGACCAGTGCTACTTCCAGAAGGCCATGTGGCCAATGGGATGTGTACATAATATATACTTTTTTATGTGGAGATACATGTTAATAAATAGGCGTACTTTCTGCCTATTTATTTTGTACATTAGGATTATTCTGAATGTTAACCGAGGCTTCCCTAGTGTAAACCTACCTCTGTACACAATTACAATACTCTTTCGCACGAATAAAGCCCACGCATCTCCTGTCATAACCACATATCTCCAATCGGGCGGCACGGTAGCACAGTGGCAGCACCTGTGCCTCAGCAAGAATGGCCACCAGACCAGAAAAAATGTCTTTGCTCAGCACACCACATAATATACTCACTCTCCCTATAGCTGTGGTTACTAGGCACGTGCAAACTACTTAAGTCTACAAGCGAGCCAGAAATCGGAGCAGCGGCAGGGAGGCACGGCGGCTCAGAGATGGAGCGATGAAATCGGCTGCTGTGCAGGTGCCGGCTGGGTGGATTGTTCTATCACATTGTGAGAGGTTGTGCCGACTTTGGGGAGGGAGGTCATCATTTAGCAGTGGATTGAGCAAGGCTCACCATGCCCTACATCCTTGCCATCACCCTCCACTCACCCACACTGCAGCAGGAACAGGAGCAGCATGAGCAGCAGCAGGAGAAACAACAGAAGCAGCAGCAGAAGCAGCAGCAGGAGGGTGGGAACGCGGCCAACGATGTGAATGCCGCCTCTCCCACCGCGAATCCGGTGATCGCCACGAGGAACCGACGCGGAGCGGTGAGCGCCGAGGTCTACACGGAGGAGGATGTGAAGGGCTACGAGCGCAAGGTGAGAGGCAGGGAGGCATCGGGCCCAGCGTGGGAGGTTTGAGCTGTTGGAGGCGCCGCTTTGGCGAGATGTTAACTCCCTCGTCTCATATACAGGAGGTCGTGGGTTTGATCCCGAACACATTCACAGCCAGTGATAGCCAGTGGACTGCATCACATCATCATGGTGGCTAGGAGATGTTAACTACCTCGCCTGGTATACAGGAGGTCGTGGGTTCGATCCTGACCCTAACGCCTGCTGTATACTTGGAGTTTGCGTGTCTCTCTGTCATCATCATCACGGTGGCTATGAGATGTTAACTCCCTCGTCTCATATACAGGAGGTCGTGGGTTTGATCCCGAACACATTCACAGCCAGTGATAGCCAGTAGACTGCATCACATCATCATGGTGGCTAGGAGATGTTAACTACCTCGCCTGGTATACAGGAGGTCGTGGGTTCGATCCTGACCCTAACGCCTGCTGTATACTTGGAGTTTGCGTGTCTCTCTGTCATAATCACGGTGGCTAGGAGATGTTAACTACCTCGCCTGGTATACAGGAGGTTGTGCGTTCGATCCCGACCCAGATGCCTGCTGTATATTTGGAGTTTGTGTGTTCTCCCCATGGTTGTGTGGATATTTCTGCAGGTGCTACGGTTTTTCCCTCCACATTTATAATCAACATGCATTCAGAGTATTTGCACGCTTGTTGCGGCCAGGTTTGCTTCTGAAAAAGAGCTATAAAATGTAGTGGGCCTTACCTGGTTAAAGTAAAAAAAAAATTTAGTTTAGGGGTAAATCCTCCGTTGGGGTTTTTTCTGTGCGATTTTTAACGCCTTCCAACTAAGGTTGATGGTTTTAATGCGAGGGCTCGGACCGTGCGTGTGTCTAATGCAAGGTCCTGAATGGTAGCATTGTTGCAGAGGTTTGCGATTCGACTGTTGCAGAGGTTTGCAGTTAGAATCTTGCAGACCTCCCGGTTATTACTGCAGCACCTGTGTGTGCGCGTGTGTCCATAAACGAGAGGTCGCGATAACTCTGAAAAGTTATCCTCATGATGCGGCCCCACGGAAGCGGGGTTCATCTGCTCGTTGCAGATGTTTGCGATCCCGTGATATGCCTTTATGAACAAGCAACAGGCGATCGTGTGCTGGCGTCACGGTAAAAGTTAGCAAAATGTTTACATTTACTCGGCAAGTTACTCAATTGGCATCAGACACAGCAGCTCAACATAGCGCCTTGCGGTATGATAGCCCTGCAGTTTATGAACAATAGCGCAAACAGCAATTTAACTCGGTTATTATTATGTGTACCTGTTTGTATTTTTGTGGGGCAGAGGTTAGTGCATTGCGCTACGAACCCGGCGAGTGACGATTATCTGAGCCGGTCCTGATGTGGTGTAAAACATCACCGCTAGGGAGACAAAGGCGGCTGGGCATGGTGCTGGCCGCCCACCCCCTTTGTGTGCTGTGCCGGCCTTTATAGGTGCTTGCTAACAGCCTTTACTCCCAACAGTCTGAGATGGCTATACAGGAGATCTTTGTATTGCTGTGTATTTCTCTTTTTCTTTAAAGCATCTGAAATGCATGTCTCAAAATCACGGAACACAAAAAAGAATACGAATCGAGTGGGAGCTGGGGGGCCATGCGGTCCATTTTGCTCGCTCGGTTGCGAGTGGCAGGTGGATTTTGGAATCTCATCGACACGCTTATTGAAGAGTCTCACTAAATTCGCTTCCACCGCGTGTGTGGGCACCCTGTTCCAGACTCCCACTCATCTGCGTAGAACACCATCAATCCGCAACTATCCCCACCAGCAGCCTCTAGTTCGCTACATTGTGTTGAGCTTTAAGCAGCAGTCCGAATCGACTCGGTCTCTTTAAGAGAGGGACAACCGTTTTATTTCCTGAAGCAAACGCTTGTCTTTTCCTACCAGGTCATCCCCAAGGACTACAAAACCATGGCCGCCCTGTCCAAAGCAATCGCTCGCAATGTTCTCTTCTCTCACCTCGACGACTCCGAACGCAGGTGCCTTAACTTTTGCTGAACGTCCGATGGAGCATTTGTCGAGGGATGCGAATAGCACCCGCGTTATAGGCTTCTGCCCGTTTAGCGATTGAAAATGCGTGTCTCTGCTTGTTTCCCGTGTCTCCGCGTCTGCCTTCGTGACTGTGTCTCCGTGTCTGTATATATGTGTCTGCGTACGTCTCCTGTTGTCTGCGTGTGTCCGTATCTCTCTGTGATTCTCTGTCTCTCTTGTCTGTGTGTGTCTCCGTGTCTGTGAAGTGTATTCGTGTCTCTTTCTATGTGAATGTTTCCGTGTGTGTGAGCGAGTGTATTCGTGTCTGTGGGGAGCAACAGTGTAGCGGTTAATGCGGCTGTGTTACGAACCCGGCGACCCGAGTTGATTCCCGCTCACGGCCGCCAACACCAGTGACGATTATCTGAACTGGTCCTGGGCCTCCGCTACGTCGACTCAGCCTCAAATGTGTACCTAATGTGGTGTGTAAACATTGCCACTTGGGAGACAAAGGCGGCCGGGCGTAGTGCTGGCCACCCACCCCCTCGTGTGCTGTGCCAGCCTTTATAGGTGCTCGCTAACAGCACTTGCTCCAACAGTCTGTTAAGGCTATACAGGAGATATTTGTGTCTCTGTGTCTGTATTTGTGTCTCTGTGTGTGTCTTCCATGTCTGTGTGTCCGTGTGTCTGTGTGAATCTGTCCATGTGTATCAGTGTCTGTCCAACTGCGCATTCGTGACAGAGAAAGTTGAGAGGACAGGACGTGGGGGCTGGATATGCAACGGTAGCGGGATGTAACTCACTCGCCTGGTATATAGGAGGTCATGGATTCAATCCTGACCCTTACACCTGTATATTTGAAGTTGTATGTTCTCTCTACCCGTGGTCGTGTGGATTTTCTTCTGGGTCCTCTCTACATTTAGAAACAACCGTTTAGATAATTTGTCTGCTATACATTTCCACGTGACAAGCCACTTCGTTGAGCTATCATATGTGATAGCCAGGTTGCTTCTGAAAAATAACTATATAGCTCAGTGGGCCTTACCTGGTAAGATAAATATATTTCATTGTTCCTAATAAATACAAAGTTTAGTTAAAAGTTGTTAAGTTTAGAACACATTTTTTTTTGGGAAGCTTGACCCGTGGTGTGCCTGAATCCATGCTGCCGTGAGCCGCATTATAACGGGCCTTTACCGTATCATAAGCAGTGCAATTGTTTGACCCGTGCCAAGATGTCTGCAAGTTGTAGGATGGGTGTCCCATTCACCGCTGAATCTCGGAGCGAGCAAGCGGCTCAGCATTAATTTTATTTAGATTGGCGTCGTAGCGCCGTTGTTTTTAAATACATTGTTACTCACCACAAAGAACTATAACGACACGACCGCCGCACTCTACGATAGCTGGCGCCAAATTGTGCCACACATAGCCCTCCCGCATGGCCTTGTGGGAGCCTCGCTACCGATAAAGTAATTTTATTTCAGCTTTTACATTTTTCTGTTAAATGTTTATGATGTACACCTACGTCATCAGAACGGGAAAGAGTTAAAAAGGAAAGCCTCTGAGTCTCACAAACATTTATTAGGGAGGGTCCTGTCAAATTGTTTTGGGAGGGATGCGATGATCGCCATGTATATTCCAGTCGAGTTCTTGGCGGTGTAATTTCTCAACTTGGGCCATGACGCCGGTGGCACGCGATGGCCAACCTCCTTGCGAATGACGTCACGGGATCTTTAACGTCCGCCGTGAGCGAAGCAGACAGCGTGGTAGCATCCTGACCTGCCCCGACGACACCTGTGTAGAAGAGCTTCATAGCTCATCGGATTCCCCCAGTCTGAATAAATATTTAGATTATTTCGCTGGAGGGGGCGGAGTGTGGGGGGGGATTTTGCTACGGGAAATCCCAATTCAGTATTTCTCAACTGGGGCTGTCAGCAAGGGCTCGTTGAGGTTGGAACGGTGTATGATTACGTGGGGTAGCCAGCACCATTGTCTGCTTTTGGCATCAACCCATTCCTAACCGTGCGTGTGTGTGTAACCTGGTTTGCGAATCTCTCTCGTTCCACAGTGACATATTTGACGCGATGTTCTCAGTCACACACATTGCCGGAGACGTCGTCATACAGCAAGGTGCACTGCTCTCTCAACTCTCTCCTTCCCACGGAATCATACGCATCTCCAGGAGACCCTGGTCCCAGTGTCTTGAGAATCGGTTCCAGGAGACCGGGTCCCAGGGTCTTGAGACTCGGCTCCAGGAGACCGGGTCTCAGGGTCTTGAGACTCGGCTCTACGAGACTGGGTCTCAGAGTCTTGAGACTCGGCTGCACGAGACTGGGTCTTAGGGTCTCAAGACTCAGCTCCAGGAGACCAGTTTTATGCTACCAATGCTAATATATCTACAAATGATGATGATTATGTTGTTAACTAGCCTTTTGTCCATCCAAGGACGGGTGTATTGCAGTAAATCTGAAAATTGCAACCGAAAAGCAGACCGTGACGTGATATTCATTGCATCAATTCGTGTGCAGTTTGTAAGGCCACGGTGACACAGAGCTATTTAATTTAAAGGTTATAATTCCTTGTTCATAATGACGTCCTTTTTACTTCAATGTCTCAATAGCGTTACGGAGATCGCGTGACGTGAGGGTCACCCACTAATAATTATTATTAATGGGGGGGGGGTGTCCATGTGGAGGACGTCACCTGTTCATGACTATTAATGCGGGGGCCTGGCCTACGTGGAGTGACGTCACGCACGGGACACACACATTCTTGGCTCATAGTAATAAATACTGTTGCTCCTGTGTTCATGATGATGTATATCCATAATAGAGGGGGGGGGGGTTTGGGTTAGATCGCGTAAATATATAAATGTGTCGTTAAAACCCGCCACCACCCGACACAGCCAACTAGTCAGTTAGTAAGGGTTGTCACGTAAATAGACCATGCCAATTCGTCACTAGTACAGCACACCGGTGTGTTGGAGAGCCAAGCCACAACATTTACAATCCGAGTACGATGTTTCACCAGTAATTATAACTAGCTTCATCAGGCGACAGCCATTATTATGGATGATATTGGTCACAAAAGCCTGTGTGTTAAAATTATATATGTATCATGATATTAACAATATTGCTGCTGCTGATGATTATGATGCCGATGAGGATGATCCTGATGAGGATGATGTGTATTTGCAGGTGATGAAGGGGATAATTTTTACGTTCTGGATCAGGGAGAAGTTGATGTGAGTGTCCTTGTGTTCCCTCTCCACGTTAGATCACACGGCCATCAACACCAGTGACGATTATCTGAACCGATCCTGGGCCTCCCCGAGGTCGACTCAGCCTCAAATGAGTACCTTGTGTAGTGTGTTAGCATCACCACTGGGGACACCAAGGTGGCCCGCCGTGGTGTTGGCCACCCACCCCCTCGTGTGCCGTGCCGGCCTTCGTAGGTGCTGCTCGCTAACAGCACTTGCCTCAGCAATCTGTGAAGGCTATATGGGGGAATCTTTGGCTTTTACCTCTCTATGTATGAAGGAGCGGTACTACAGGGTCTAGCCCACTGCGCTACAAATCCAAGCGACCTGAGTTCGATTCCCTCCCATGGCCACCAACACCTGCAGGCTGCCCCAGTTACTTTTGCGGTGCATGTTAACTGTAAAATACTGCCTGGTGTCCGCTTCACAAACAGTGGACGTGAAAGAACCCGTCATGCCATTATGAACGAGCAACAGGCGACCGTGTGCTGGCATCACGGTAAAAAATTGCAAAATGTTTACATTTACACGGCAAGTTACTCAATTGGGATCAGACACAGCAGTAACATCGCCCCCTACTCTTGTAGACTTCGCAACACAGCGCCTTGCGGTATTATAGCCCTGCAGTTTATGAACGATAGCTCAAACCGCAATTGAACTCAATTATTATTATTGTGTGTACCTGTGTGTATTTCTGTGGGGCAGCGGCTGGCTCATTGCGCTACGAACCCGGCGAGTGACGATTATCTGAACCGGTCCTGGACCTCCCCTAGATCGACTAAGCCTTAAATGATTACCTGGTGTGGTGTGTTGACATCACCACTGGGGAGACAAAGGTGGGCCAATCATGGTTTTAGCCACCCACCCCCTCGTGTCATGCCGGCCTTCCTAGCTGCCACTCGCTCACAGCACTTGCCCCAACAGTCTGTTAAGGCTATGAGGGGGATCTTTGTATCTCTCTATGTATGTCTCTCCCATGGCGTGTCAGTGTACGTTGGTGGCTGTGTATCTGTCTATAAGTATATCTTTATTTCTCCCCCCCTGTGTGTGTGTAGGTGTACGTGGGGGGTGACTGGGTGGGCTCCATAGGGGACGGGGGCAGCTTTGGGGAGCTGGCGCTGATCTATGGGACTCCTCGTGCCGCCACCGTAAAAGCGCGGAGCGACATCAAACTGTGGGGCATCGACAGAGACAGCTACCGGAGAATCCTCATGGTGCGCAGAGATACCCGGGCAGAGATACGCCGCAGAAATACACCGCAGACATGCACATGCAGAATTACACACGCAGAGATACAATCAGACCTCCATTTACGCATCCACTTTTACGTTGTTTGGCAAGTACATCACTTTTATAACACCACGACCAGATTTACGTCGCCTCAACTCACACTCAGCTGACAGCATCATCGGTCATCCTTTCCCGTATCCATCACCTCAGCTTTCGCCATCACCTACCCTGTAAATCGCTTTGTTTTACGTTTCGATATTCGTCGTCGCACCTTTCAGGAACGCATCCATGCTGTATATATGCGCAGAGATATATGCACAGAGATGAAAACAGCTACAGGGAGATCTGCACAGAGAGCCAGAGACACAGGGAGATGCACACAGGCAGCTAAAGATGCATCCTCTTGGCTGAGAGACAAGCATAGAGATGCACACAGATGCATACAGAGATAGCAATACCCGCCATTCACCACTAAGTGACAGTGATGTCATCACGGCGCCTGTGCCAGGCCACGTGCACTTTGAGGCCACGTGAAGTGTCGTCGAAGACTCGCTGACAGGAGGTCACGGGATAGACCCAGGTGCCATGGGCTGGCTGACTGAGATGACTGGTAGATGCACCAGCTGTACCCCCTACTGTGCCGACTTGCTGCATTTTAGCCACCCAGAGATGAACATAGATACACACAGAGACAACGGGTATACACATACACACATGCCGAAGCACACACAAATATAGATACGCACTTATGTAGATAAACACAAACTGAGATCTATACGTACACAGATGGCGATATACACCTATTGACACTTACACCGGTATACGATGTGTGTTGTGTGTGTACAGGGAAGCACTCTGCGGAAGAGGAAGATGTATGAAGAGTTTTTGAGCAAAGTATCCATACTCGGTGAGTGCGTGTGGTCACTGTGACGTGGGGAACGGTAGTGTAGTAGTCTATGCGTGTCTGCCATTGTGTGTGTCCGTGCCTCTGAGTTGCTCTGTGATTGTATTCGTGTGTGTGTGTGCGCGCGCACGTCTCCGTGTCTGTGAAGTGTATTCGTGTCTTGTTTCTCAGTGAATGTTGCCGTGTGTGTGCGAGTGTATTCGTGTCTATGGGGAAGCGGTAGTGTAGCGGTTAACACGGCTGCACTACGAACCCAGCGACATGAGTTCGATTCCCGCTCATGGCCAACTCCAGTGGCGATTATTTGAACCGGTTCTGGGCCTTCCCGAGGTCGACTCGGCCTCAAATGGGTACCTTGTGCGGTGTGTAAACACATCGCCACTGGGGAGACAAAGGCGGCCGGGCGTAGTGCTGACCACCCACCCCCTTGTGTGCCGTGCTGTCCTAAATGGGTGCTCGCTAACAGCACATGACACAACAGTCTGTTAAGGCTATACGGGGAATCTTTGTCTTTGTGTGTGACATGGGGAGCGGTAGTGTAGTGGTTAGCGCTTTGCACTACGAGCCCAGTGAGCAGAGTTCAATCCCCGCTTATAGCCAAAATCGGTGACAAACATCTGAACTGCTCCGGAACCTCCCCTAGGTCAACTCATCCAGATGCAGTGCGGATACATCGCCGCTGGAGAAGCAAAGTCGGCCACGCTTGGTGCTGGCCACCCACACCCTCATGTGCCGTGCCGGCCTTCATAGGTGCTACTCGCTGATACCACTTGCCCCAAGAGTCTGTTGAAGGCTATATGGGGGATCTTTGTGTTTATCTTTTTCAGAATCCCTGGACAAGTGGGAGCGTCTCACTGTGGCCGATGCCCTGGAACCGGTTCAATTCCAGGACGGGGAGAACATCGTGGTGCAGGGGGAACGTGGGGACGACTTCTACATCATCACAGAGGTCACAAGAGACACACTCGGAGACACGCGCAACAGAGACACGCACAGAGACACGGACGCACAGAGACACGGACGCACAGAGACACGCACGCACAGAAACCCGCACGCACAGAGACACGCACGCACAGAGACACGCACGCACAGAGACACGCACGCACAGAGACACGCACGCACAGAGACACACTGAGACACACACTGAGACACACTGAGACACACACAGACATGAGACATGCACAGATACTTATGCATACGTACATTGAGACATGCACATAAAGACACACAGACACATCCACTGCTACTTACTCAGACATACATTGATACACAGACAAAAAAACCGACACACTAATACTTACACAGACACACATTGCCACACACAGACACCTGTTCACACTCCCGCCCCCACCGCCCGTCCGTGTCCAGGGCTCCGCGGCCGTGCTGCAGCGTCGCGCAGAGAGCGACGAGTTTGTGGAGGTCGGACGGCTCGGCCCCTCTGACTACTTCGGTGAGAGACACGGGGAGCGGGAGTGGAGACACTGGGAGGAGGGAACGGAGACACCGGGAGTAGGGGGAGGGAGACTAAGGGAGGGGGAGGGAGACACGAGGAGGGGGAGGGAGACACGAGGAGGGGGAGACACGGGAAGGAGGGGGAGGGAGACACGGGTAGGAGGATAGAGACACGGGGAGGAGGGGAAGGGAGACATGGGTGGGGGCAAGAAGGAGACAGCGGCAATGGAACGATGATGAAATCGGCTCGTGTGTAGAGCAGGTGCTTGTGGATTGTTACAGCGCAGGATTTGGGGAGGCCTTCATCCAGCAGTGGATAGATCATGCCGGTGATTGTTTAATGTTTTGTGCCGAGTGACGCTGGGTGTATGAGTAGCTGTTGTGTGTGACACTATTTCTGTGTGTGACACTATTGCTGTGCGTGCCACGGTGCTGCGTGTGGGGCTGCGTGTGGCGCTGCGTGTGACGCTGGGCTCTGTGTGCAATGCCAGGAGAGATCGCTCTGCTGCTGGACCGCCCGCGAGCGGCCACGGTGGTGGCTCGCAGCCAGCTCAAGTGCGTGAAGCTGGACCGGCCTCGCTTCGAAAGGGTCATGGGGCCCTGCTCCAGCATCCTCAAGCGGAACATCCAGCAGTACAACAGCTTCGTGTCTCTCTCCGTGTGAGAGTCTCTGTGTGCATCTATCAGCGTCTCTGTCACTGTCCCCGTGTTAGCAAGTCTGTCTATCAGCATCTGTCATTATCCGTGTAAGAGATTTTGTCTGTGTCTTGTCGGCATCTCTGTTCGTGTCTCCATGTGACAAAGTCTGTGTGTCAGAGTTTTTTTGTGCGTCTCTAAGTGTCTCTGTTAGTGTCTCCGTGTGAGAGTGTCTATCGGCATCTCTGTCAGTGTTATCCGTGTGAGAGTCTCCGTGTGAGAGTCTCTGTTCATCTGTCAGTGTCTCTGCCGGTGTCTGCGAGAGCAGCGAGTCTTGAGAGTCTGTGCGAGTATCATTGAGAGAGTGAGTCTGTATGTGTAAGTGTATCTGTGATACTGTGTGTGTGTGAGTGTATCTGTGTGACGCTGTGTTTGTGTCATTGGGTTTCTGTGCGTCTTCCTGGAGAAAAGGCTTTTATGTCTGTGTTCCTCTGTGTGTCTGTGTGCGAGTCCCTCTGTTTCTGTGTGAGTGTCTTTTCTCCGTGTGTTCGTATGCCTATGTAACTCGAGTGTGAGTCTTTGTCTTTGTGTCTGTCTTTGTGTGAGTGAGTGTCTCCTTTTGGGGAGTGGTGGTGCAGTTGTCGCTTTTAACGATGAGCTCGGCGACCTAAGTTTGATTCCCCGCCATGGTTAATATCAGTGGAAATGATCTCATCTTGTCCTGGGAATCATTTAGGTTTATTCAGCCTTAACTGAGTACCTCGTGTGGAATTAAACAGGAGCACCACCCCCTCATCTTGTGCCATGGTAGCCTTAATAGTTGCTCACAGCAATTCCCTCTACAATCTGTGTTGGCTACATGGGGGATCTTTGTCTATGCTTACATGTAAGTGCATCTGTGTGTGAATGCATGTGTCTGTATAGGCACGTTCATATGTCTGTGCACGCGCTTTTTGTTCGCTTTGTGCGTTTACACATAGCGTATGCGCCGGTCAATATGTACGTGCAGACGCTTCCATTTTCGAAATGTGGCACACCACATCCAGTATACCTCTCTCGAACAGCTGTGGATACTGCTAGTCACAGGTCACCGACACCATTCTGCCAGCAAATATGTGCCTCTCCGTGCACACCACGTCCAATATTCAGTGTAGAAATTAAGCCCTGGGTACATGTGTTTACCTTTGTACGTGTGTATATTGGTGTGTCGGTCTGTATCCTTATGTGTGTGTATGCATGTCTTTGTGGGTGCTCGCTCACAGCACTTGCCCCAACAGTCTGTTAAGGCTATATGGAAGATCTTTGTCTCTGTGGGGAGTATCTAGTGTAGCGGTTAGCATGCTGTGCTACGAACCCGGTGACCCGAGTTTCGATTCCCGCTCACGGCCAACACCAGTGATGATTATCTGAACCGATCCCCCACCTTTCCCCTAGGTCGACCCATCCTTAAATGAGTGCCTGGTGTGGTGTGTAAACAAGCCCGCTGGGGAGACAAAGGCGGCCGGGCATGGTATTAGCCACCCACCCCCTCATACCGACCTTCATAGGTGCTACTTGCTAACAGCACTTGCCCCAACAGTCTGTTAAGCCGATATATGGGAATCTTTGTCTTTGTATGTACGCATGCGTGTCTGTGTGTATGTGTTTACACTCAAGTCTCAGAGTGTATTTTAACCAAACTTTGAATCTACAAACAAGTGCCTCCGTATGATTTGTATCCCAGCTCTTCACCCATAATTCGTGCCGTTCATTGTCCCCCTCATACGCATCACGATCGATATGCACAAGGACTGGTCCATCGTACTAAAGGTTGCTATCATTTGGCGATACTACATCGCGTCATACGATATTGTTAATACGTTTCCCCATGAAAGCATCACCGAGCCTCAAAACCCTTTGTGAGGAGGGTCCTGCTAACTTTTAACAGTCGGGGTTGGTGTTCAGTATTGCTCTTTGTAATCCCAATTGAGTAATTAGCAGGTAATTTAAACTTTTTACATTGGAATGTCTTTGGCCAATACCAGTTACATTGTATGGTTGGGTTTTTACAGGTAGGAACAACAGTTCCACACTGCCCACCAGGGATTATTTGTCTGTCGTGCATAGCCCCTCCCAAACATGTACGCTCTCGGATTGGTTGAAGTGCGTCACGTGACCGCGAGCTTTCTGCCGTGCACGAATGCGCTGTCCAACCAAGTTTCTACCTGCCCACTCCGAAGGAACGTGTTTTTTAAGCTATGGAAGGAAACTGGAGAACCCAGAGGGAAACCTAATGCAGAAAGCGGATATGGGCACCTGAGTCGGGAATCAAACCCTGGACTCTATTTCTGCGAGGCAGGAAGTGTTTTCACTGCGCTGCCGCCAAGATCAGATGCGACGACCATTGTCGCATCTGATTCGCACAAAATATCGCCATATCCTATCTGTGGTTTGTAAATGTTTTCCTAAAGTATTTCATTTGCGAACAAAATATTCAAGAGCGAACCATAATTAAAGTTGATGATGATAATTTAAGTTCCTGAAGAAAACAGCTCTGACCCATGAAGATAATATTTAGTAAAAAAAAAATTCCGGGGTAATTGAGAGCACGGTGATTATTCAACTTCACCGTTTACTGACAGGCGCGTCCTGTTACAAGCAGCTACTCGTTGTGATGTCAGTAACACGGCTCGCGTTGAGTGACCCGCACCTGAAGGACTTTTTCGAGCAATATCCATTCATCCTGGAAATCTAGCGAATCACAGCAACGATAGGATAAAATTTGTAACGCAATTACAAAGTCGTGGGAAACCTGGTGTCGTGAATATCGCGAAATTTGACATCCCAAAGTATCGTTAACAATGATACCGCGGTGGTCCCAGTCTGTGCAGACACTAACTACCATTATCCATCGTGTACACATGCAGCACACCACAGGTACACACTCCTGGCTTCATAACGGAGACACTCAAGATGCGTGGGCATCTAGCATTATGGGTGAAGGCAACGACAGTATTGTTGCCTCTTTATAATGAGCCATGCGTGGCGTGCTGCCGAACTTCCAATCGATCGTCGCTCGTTTGCTCAACGGTGCCCGTGTGCATTGTTTAATGTTGCTCGTGACCAGTAGAACCGAGTTCAATTTCGGCTCATGGCCAACACTCGGTGATGATGATCTGAGCTTCTTTTTCTGTTTAGTTTGTTGTCCTTCCCCAACACCTCCGATTGGTTGGCAATGTACGTTTGGGAAAAAAGTTCTGGGCTTCCACTGGGTTGACTGCTTCAAATGAGTACCGGTTGTGATGTGTAAACATCACCACTAGTGCTGGCCATCCCACCCCCTCGTGTGTCATGCCAGCCTTCGTAGGTGCTACTCGCTAACAACACTTTTCGAAAAAGACTGTTGAGGCTTTACGGGGTATCTTTGTACGAATATCAGAGGTGGGACAAAGTCATTGTTATGCAAGTCCAAGTCGAGTCTGAAGTCATCAAATTCATGACTCGAGTCTGACTCGAGACCAAGTCACATGACTCGAGTCCACACCTCTGACGAATATATATGTACACGGCTGGGGCGATAGTGCGTTAATGTTACGCGTTTCTTCGAATGCCCGGTTTAGTTTGTCATTGAACCCGACCTCGTAAACACCCTGGCACAGCAGCAGACATTCTTCCAGCACTGCAAGCGGTGCCCTCATAATGACGAACGAACGCCCTGTGAAAGCAGATCTCTTCTGTGTCTCGACTAATAAGAACAATAACCCTCGTGGTTTAGTTCCATCAGCCTATTGGCTTTCCAGATCAACAGTCGGCAGCGTTTGTCTTTAACGAACCTGTGTCTACTCTGCTGATGAACACCAGGGGGTCGTAACCGGTCCACGGTGTTTTTGTGCTTCAACAAAAACCGCTCGGTGATGTTGGTGTGGAAAGCCAACGGGGAGGTGGCCCGAAGGACAAAGACACGTTTTTATTTACAAGCAGAGACTCGAGCGGAGTTCTACGCACATTGGCTTCCGTTGGCGATCAGTGTTGGTGGAATTTGGCTTTTGATTTAAGTGAGATACAATAGTGGCGCGTGTATTTTTTTTATATATCTTACTCTCCATCGCACCAGTGTTTACCCTGTCTGTCAATCGACACCTGATTATAATCATTGTGTAATGGCTGAGTAGACCTAGGGGAAGGATAGAACACCCGACCATTGGCAGACCAGGAATTTAACCGAGAACTCTTCTTAAGTTTGCTCGTCAAGAGTCTCGCAAACCATTATGAGCCTCTCAGTGGGTGTTCACCTGGTTAAATAAAGGACATCAGTCGTAAGTGACCATGCATTTAAATGGGACATCACCTGTATAAACAAAGCAGTACGTGTACTGGGCAATGTCTAGGTTTACTCAGCCACAAATGTACCATATTGTCAAACTGTCTACCTTTAAATAATACCTTATATACAGTGTGAAGTCATTTATGTTCAAAGTTTATTACCTAACAGCATACATTTGTATTAAGTTCATATATCATTGTTTAGCAACGTTGTAGACATTGGCTTTAATTATACATGACTCTGAATATGAAAGTATTTCGATTTTTTTTCTTAAACTTTAATAAAATATTTTAAAAATGTGTTGTGTTATAGTAGGATTGCCTCTGCCATTGAAAACTGTTGCATTAAGCCCCTGGTGTAAATCCACTGCTGGATGAGGGCCTCCCCACTGAACCCTAAGAATATCAAGGGAGCCTTAGTCTGGCTCTGAGCCTCAGGCATTATCACTGAACCTTAAGAAACCCATGGGAGCCTTTGTCAGGTCATATCAGCCTCATGCATTTAAACTCAACTAAAATCGTTTATTTTGCCATGTAAGGACCACTGAGCTATATAGCTCTGTTCAGAAGCGACCTGGCCACAAATGGTCGCTCAACATAGTGGCTTATGTGTAAATGTATTGCAACTAAATACTTTAAAAGGGGAGAGAAATAACAGGGCTGAGAGAAATCCATACAACCACGTGGAGAGAGAACACGCAAACTGCAAATATACAGACATCGGTGAGGGTCGGGATCAAACCCACGACTTGCATACCAGGCGAGGGAATTGACATCTGGCCGCTGTGATGTCCCATGCATTATCACTGAACCCTAAGCATTCCAAGGGAGCTTTCGTCTTGCTCTGAGCCTCATGTATTGTTACTGAACACTAAGAATCCCAAGGGAGCCTTAGGTTCTATGAGCCAGTTCTGCTCCCACCCATGTTCCACGCTCCCCGTCTTACTGCACCAATCAGGATCAACACGGATCAACACAAACTCGCATAATTAACACATCAAGCTGCCGAGTGTAATCAAGTAACTCTGACTCGTTACCACTCTCCTGCTCTTTCCTCACCTATTCTAGTGACTTTAACAGGCACCATACTATCTGGGCTATGCAGTAGATCGGGCCATCGGCGAAGACCTCACTGAATGGATGTATGCTGAAGATCTGCATCTCATTTTCGATCCCAAGCAGTGAGCAACTTTCCACTATGCTCACTCGCAACGTGACTACAGCCCGGACCATGGCATCGTTTCCAAAGATCAACGTGGGAGCACACTGAACGCATCCCGAAAAATACTCCCAAGCTGCCCCAAAAGTCAACATAGGCCCATTATCACCCACATTGGCATCGAAATCCCTGTGATTGTGTCAAAACGATGACCAAGGTCGAACTTGGTCAAAGCTGACCTTGGGACCATTATAAGGAGGCTGTAGAGAGAGAGTAGTGAGTTGAATTCCCGTGACACCAGAATGCTGTCACCGTTTAGTTGACCTCCTTGCTGCAGCCGCCAAGAAGAGCACCCCCCAAGGCTTCCCAGGCACTGCTCCGACAGTACAACCAGTTTGGCAGCCCACATGTTGGAAAGGCCCTGCTGGAGTCTTTAGATTCAGCCAGACAACGGCGGTGGATTGAGTGCGTTAAAGGCCTGGACTTCACAAATTCCAGCCACCGTGCCTGGGCCCTACTACGATTCCTGGGTGCTGCTAACCCAACAATACCGGACCGCAAGAGTCCTGCCCAACTTTCGAGCCTCCAAACTAGTGAAGCACACTCTGAAAGTGACCTGGAGCAACACTGTGTGGCACGATCCCACTCCAACGTATCTCGGAGTGAAGATAAACGGTACGCTCACCTTTCATAACCACGTGAAACAGGTAGCTACCGAGACCAAAACAAGGGGAAACCGAGTCCAGAAATTGGCAAGCACAAGCTGGGAAGCATCAGCACCAGTGCTACGGACATCTTTGTAGCCGAGTGCTGTGCACTAGTATTGACCAAAAGTAGTCACCCACTCGACTTGTTGATGTCCAAATGAACTCTGCAATGCGGTGTATCACTGGAACCCTCGAGTGTCTACCTCAAAATCCTGGCTGCCTGTGTTATCACATATCTCTCCCAACCCATCTGCCGCAATGCCGCAACCGTCCGGGAAGTCCTGCGAATCGAGAAAGACAGTCGCCTTCCCATTCATCAGGACGTCAATAACGTCCCTCAGTCATCGCTTGAAGTCACGCAAGCCCTTTTGGACCCATGCGCTGAACCTTCAACAATACGAGCGAGTTCAACCCCCAATGAAGCTTGGAGAGCTGAATGGTGTTCAAAAGAACTGGTAAACAAACACCGCCTTGTTGTTAAAGACCCAACACAGATCCCTGAGTTTGATCTTACACGAACCTCATGGTCCACCCTAAGCTGCATCCACTTCACAAACCATGGCAGATGCAGATACCTGATGCACAAATGGAAAATTAAAAACTCTCCAGCGTGCGACTGGTCATCCAGAATAGACCGTAACAACATATACCGACGCAGTGCCCGATCCACGAACACGGAGACATCACATGGATACATTAATAAGAGGTTTTTTGGGTTAGATTGCGTAAATATATAAATGTGTCATTAAAACCCGCCACCACCCGACACAGCCAACTAGTAAGGGTTGTCACATAAACAGACCATGCCAATTCGTCACTAGTACAGCATTAGTGTGTAGTGCATAGTGTAGTGTATATTGTAGTGTATAGTGGACTATACTAGTACAGCACACCGATGTGTTGGAGAGCCAAGCCACAACATTTACAAACTGTGTACGATTGTACACTGACGGTGTGCTGTACACGAGGGGGTGTGGCTGGAGGTGGAGCTTTGCTCCACCAAAACGAATATAAGCGGAGGCAGGAGGGGACCCGTGGTCGGTGTGGGAAGCCTCGGGTCCGGACTGCATCGCCGCTCAACCTCTCCTCGCCGACGACCACGTGGCGGACTCCTCTCCTCCTGCCGCGCCGCAGCCAGCGGCGGGATCGGAGAGCGAGAGAGGCGTGCCACGACAGTGGCCAGAGGACGGCTCGTCAACGGCAGTGGAGAGGGAAGAGAGTGGAGCTGTGTAGAAGTTCTATTCATAAAAAGACGATAGTCGACAGTCCTCGTGGAAGTCGTTTATTACACTAGTGACGAATTGCATGTTCTGTTTACGTGACAACCCTTACTAGTTGGCTGTGTCGGGTGGTGGCAGGTTTAACGACACATTTATATATTTACACGATCTAACCCAAAAAACCTCTTATGGATGATATCTTTTTTTTCTTATATATAAAAGTCTCCGCGCGCGCTTGCGAGGGATTTGGCTCTCGAACGGTGGGCTTGAGGTCCAAAAAAATTTGCCAGCCGGCACGCCCTAAGCCCCGCGATGGGAATATGGTATTCTTTTTTCACGTCCGTCACCTTTAAATTAGTTAAATGAGCGATTTAGTGCGATTTTGCTATACTTATTTATTTATTGCGCGCCATCGACCATACCAACTCACGCCAATTGCGCTGGGGGGGGGGCGGACCCTGCCAAGTGATGCGCGTTCGGTTGAGCTCACGGGGGACATTTTATTTCACGCGTTTAACATGCAATAAATATACACATAACACTGCGGCTATTTCTTCACAGTGTCATGTCCTCTTCGCCCCCCCCCCCAACACAATGCGTGCAGTTACTGCTATAAAGACCGTAGATATTCAAATTATTACAGTGTTTAGATAGCATTCTTGTAGTATTCTTGTTTATTATTAAACAAATACTTTGGCAGATATTACAATTATAATGTTTGTGTGCACAAAACTAATGTTTCATTATTAGGTTGCTAAATATTCCCTTTTTTAGCTATGCTTTTATGACGCTGCGACTGTCTTCTGCCAGTCTATGATGTGCCTGCTGCCTGCTGCTTAATTAACATCAGCGCACTGCCATTCTATTATCGACACTGCTAATTTTCCTTTTGACCATTATGAGTGAATGCCAGTCTATAATCTGTTGCCTGCTTCTTTACCTCACTCAGTGTACTGCCAGCCTTTCATGTCGACTGTTTTTGCTTTTTCAACTGCTGCACATATCGACTGCTCTGGTAATGGTGGTCAATGATTTACGTTTTGTCAGCAGTCAAAGGCTTTGTCAGCCTCCTCATTCTGTTCGATCTCAGCATGCCATTTGACTCCATTTATCACGGGGTTCTCCTTCAGCAACTGAAAGTTTCAGTGGGGACCTTTCGCATAACTTTGTTGTGGTTCCACTCTTACTTAAAGAAACGTAGATACTTCGTCACAAAGGATGGCTTCAAGTTTCCAATTAAACCAGTTCTCTGTGGTGTTCTGCAGGGATCTGTGCTTGGCCCATCACTTTTTAGCATCTACATCGCACCATTGGGTATTCTGCTCCGACATATTGGCGTATCATACCATTGCTATGCAGATGACACTCACATTTATATCTGGTTAGGACCAGACTATGCAACAGATTTTTTGCACTGTCTGCATCACTAACAGTGAATTTATGGTTGAGCCAAAACGTTTTTCTAATAAATGCCAACAAAACCAAAGCCATATTTATCGGCTCCCTTCTGCATCTTTCTAAAATTGGTTGGCCTCGTTTGTTGATTGATGGTCATGTCAGTCCCACATGGGAGGTCCGAACCTTGGTGTTCAGTTTGACCGGTCATCTTTTGAGGCACATACAGGGTGTTTCAAAGAGATGGATTCGATTTGAAATCGCTATATCTCTGCAATCACGAACCGCCCATGAATGAAACTCTTACCACTTGAAAGGGCGAAGCATAGTTTCAAATGATTACCGCTCGATGCCTCTCCCAGCGCACAAACAGCCCCTAGCCTCAGTCATTCGCAAGATGGTGACCCCACAACACAAAGGCGTTTTTCGTTCTGCGGTTCAGCAAGACAGAATCCGTAATTGCGGTGCAGCGTGCGTTTCAACGGCGTTTTGGCATTGACCCGCCAATGTCAAAGAGCATTCGTCTTTGGTACCGACAATTTGAGGAAACGGGCTGTTGGTGTGCGGGGAAGAGCACAGTGCGACCACGCACCTCAGAGGAAAACGTGAGAAGAGAGGCGTTTGGGACGAATTCAACTATCGTCTCGATGTTGTCCGTACAGCAGGTGGAGGGTACATAGAGCATTTATAAAAGGATTAGTAAAACTTGATAACTCATTAAACCGTTTGTAACTTTTTGTGCAATTGTAACATGTTGCCATCGTGAAATATACTGCTTTGAAATTGGGTCCATATGTTTGAAACACCCTGATTATCGAG